TGGGAAATATTCCTTTTCATAAGGGAAATGAATGAGCCTGTGATGGCAAAGCTTTTCACAACTAATCATACCAATCGAGTTGTTCATGTCTTTAAAGCTTTTTTCTAAATAGTTTCGTTCATATTTGTTAAAACTAAACTATATTTTTGGTCACGTTCTTATGGCAAACAGTCGTTGCTATGGCCGTTGCTACGTGAAAAAACTCATACCACTGTGTACTTTTCTTTAAATTCCACACTCATCGCGAAGAAAATTCGGCGAGATCGTTTCAGAGTTTTTTTTGACAAGTCCTCAAGGGTCTTAAGTCTGGTATTTCCAAGAAATTGAATTTTTCATGAACATCGCCATATTTTAGGGTACCATACCCCCTTAAAACAAACCACGACGGCAACAGCAGCAAGATCGAGAAAGTCATCAAAAAGAGGTTAAACGAGCAAAACAGTAATGGCTGTGCACGTGCGTTATAAATCTTTGTACATTTCGTAGCTGTCCTCTGCAAAACAACAACGTTAAATGACCAAGTTCTGCGTATTTTGGAAAACGTGAGCGACGGCGGCTTATTTTTCGTATTTTCATTTGAAATTCAACGGTGGCCTTACATATTAAGCTTGAGCAAGTTCTGCAACCTATAGCCAGGCGCACTGTACAGTTCTAGATAATTGCGAAATTCAAAGTTAAATTGACCAATTTCGATATATTAAAATTCAGCCTACAACAATAGACCCCAGCACGAGGCTCTGGGGAATAAACCCCACAAACTCTACAGTTATTCCCCGGAGTCTATTGTTTTAGGCTGAATTTTAATACATCAAAATTGATCTATTAAAATTCCTGTTTCATTAGGTGCCGCCGTCGTCTTTGCTTAACTTCCCTATTACCTGTGATTACTCGATTTTCTGAGGTATACATGCGTAGCGTTGCAGCTGTGTCCTCCCTGACAGATATGTCTTTCCAACTTTCGACGAATAATATGCAAATGAGTGGTGATCATGTCTTCTTTGGCCATTGTGGCTAGGGAGGGATGACTGGGAATGATTGATTTGAGTTGATTTTCCTCGATACGCTGGGAGCTGCATGTACGGCGCCCATGTCCTTGGTTACTAAACGCTCAGGTAAGCAGCTACTTGTAGTTCAACAGTGCTAGGCAAACCACTACAGAACACAAGACCACTTCCATGTGTCAGGACGCTTTCAGGGGCANCTAGGCTCTCAAGGCTGAATACGTTTGGAGGACAAAGCTTTACTGACCCTTAGCCTGGACTAGTCAATCGATAAAAATCAGTACCGATAAAAATCTTTTTTTTTCCTCAGTTCGTGTAACAGCATCCTCGGAGACCCAGGGGCAGCTAGCCGGGATGATGCGATATTTTCGGGTGACGCGATAGTTTTGGGCGAAAGTTTACTTCAAGAGCGGGAGAAGGGACTCTCCCGTTCTTGAAGTTAACTATCGCGCCGCCCGAAAATATCGCATCGTCCCGACTAGCTGCCCCTGGGTCTCGATGATGATGTAAGAGTAAAGAGATAATTTTCATGTGCTACTTACCTTATTTATGTAATTATTACACAGGCATAACACAGGCATGTCTATGCATAAGCATTAAATGAATGACAGCAGAGACCAAAAAATTCCAACAAGCATTATACTATGCAATTGTAACCATATGTATTTCACCATAACACCACAATTATGTACAAACACTGACTTTCAATGACATTGTAAGTATGAATATAAGGTATTTTAGGGGGACGAGTAGCACAGAACTATGGTATAGTTGTAATTTTATTTCTTTTATACAATCTTGATATTGCTCATTTTTGCTCAACAGTAATGGCTGAAAACCTGTTGCCAGAGTGTGACCAATAATGTATTACCAGTATACCACGACAAATATTTTGAATTCCAGATCCAAGAAAAGAATGAAACTGTGATGGCAATCTGTTCTGCCCCCAGAAAAACAAACAACTTGCTTCTTATGACCAGAACAACAGTCCTGTTAAAATAAAGAGGTTTAGAATTGACACCATATCAAGTACCAAAGATTTCCTTATGGGAGATGCATCAGTTGAACATTACCCTAATAGGAACTTTTAGAAATTATAGCTGCATCAACAATGAATGTGGTGTTTTTTAACTTTGCAAGTAAAAGTGCTACTATGATGAAATTCAAACCTGTCCTATCTAAGCAATTTAAAAAATAAGTACACTGAAAGAGAGGAAAAATGCTGTTAACTATTTTCAAATGTCTCTATTCGTTTTAGAGATTCAAGTTCTCAAGATATGCAAATTAGACTAGTGATGACGTCATAAACCCAACCAAATTTTGATCAAATGTGAAGAAAAGAGACGTCAATCAACTTGTGTCGGAAATGTTGGATTCTTGGCAGTAAGATTCTACTATGAGTGCTCCATGTTACCATGACAACATACCGTGTCAGAACTACCCTTGTGATGTTAAAGGGACACTATATCACAAGCAGCGCATGTGTAAAATGTAAATAATATGTTTTCTTTAGTACATCTCCTCAGATTCCCAAGTCATGGTGACTCAAAACAGTTTCCAGTACTTTCCAGGATGTAGATTTTGATGGGTCATTATAACCACTCTACATCAGTTGATACCACAATCGTGGTATCAAAAAATTGCCCAATCATTGGTGAACATGTTGATGTTAATTTTGTGGCACAATAGGTTACAAAAGAAACAGTATGACCTGTTTAAAAATCCCTTAATGTTAGTTTTAAGGGCTTATAACTCAAAAGTGAGCTTGGTGACCCCACTTTTTATTATCGAATTGCGATAAGCATGATAAGATGCAACTTTTTAAAAAGTTTTAACAAATTCTGTAGAGAGGGTCCAGAGCCACCTTAAAGTTTCGAAAATCACAATGATAACTCGATAATAAAAAGAGGGGTCACCAAGTTCGTTTTTGAGTTATAAGCGCTTAATGCTACAATTAAGGGTGTTTTAAACAGGCCATATTGTTGCTATGGTAACTATAGCTATTAGAAAAGTGCTGGAAACTGTTTCCAGCCTCCTTAAATACTACTAATGACAGCTAAGTTAATGCAAATTCTACAGTACATAACGATTCAAAGATCACGATGCGCTAAATAGTCTATAATCAACAACAGGATCCATTTAGCTTTCAACTTCACAGTGCTACCGACTCATGAAAATATTTTTTTCTCCACTACATCTCTACAGATGTCTAAGTTAAATACACCTTTTGAAAGATAGGTGAATGCAGATTCTCAGTACATAACGGTTTAGAGGCCAGGATACGTTAAAAAGCCTTCTTCATCGAAATTACCACCAAATTTCAACACCATCCAGGTAGTTTTCAAATATTGTCTTATAAAGTAACTTGTTTTCTCCAGCATATCTATACAGAATTCTATATGTTGGTACAAAGCAGAAGAAGCAGAAGAACATGATTTGGTGGTCAAGCTGCACCACCCTATCTAACTATGGATGCACTAAGTGGCTCAACTGGCAAAGATACATTCATTGAGTGGTCTGCTCTTGCCTATGCCATCTTGAATTTCGCACGTAAGATTGCCAGACGTTTTCAAACTCGAGACAATCTCGTTCCCAGAGTCTTCGTTCCCCTTGACCAGCGGTCGGAAAATGAGAGCTCTGGGAGCAACCATCGCAGCGACCCAGGCAGCAGGCGGTGTTGGACACGACTTGCAAAGCATACCGGGAGAAATTTTCCCTGAAGCTCATTTTCATCTGATCGCTGAACTGCAAACATCTCCG